TACTGGCACCGGGGCCTCCTTGGAAGTATATCAAGGTTGGACTTTCTCGTGATGCGTCACGAGATTCGAAAAACCAATAAAACAATCTGGGAGATAATCGAACGTCGTTGTTTCGATGCCATAAGCAAGCAGTTCTACTTGTTGTTGTCTCGACCGGATAAGTAACCATGATATTGGACAACCGTGCTATCACAGAGAGGCTCGGTCCTCTTCAATGCTTCCAGAGAGGCCCGGCTTTTCCCTCGAAATCGTCCTAAGATTGTGCCAGTGATGAACAGCGACTTCTCGGGAGGGAAGCAGTTCACCATGGTATGAAGGGCTCGAGGCATGACTCGTGAGAACCCCACAGAGAGCCACCGCAATCGTCGCGCAGAGCTTAGTCGTTTTGGGGAATGAGCAACTACAACATTGGCAGATCGATTCAATGTTTTGTCGAAATATTTACTAATTTCCCCACAGTTTTTTGATGAAAAAATGTCCAACTGTTCCAAGAACTGTTTTTGATGGATTGTCCAGCGATCGTTTTAGTCTCAAATGAAGTCTCAAAAATATGTTTCTAAAATTTTTGGAAAACTATAGACTTCTATCAATGACATTCATCCCGTCCTTCCTGGGAAGCCGGGAAATTGGCGCGTCTCCCCCCTGAAAGTTACCGGATATCTGTCGCGTCTCCATTCGGTGTGGAATGGATGTACACAGATATGGCTACTGAGTCTGTGATACCAATGAATGGTGACTATAACTCGACCACTGCCATACCAAGGAGATGACAGCAGCACTACATCATCACCCATTCACAAGAACGCAAGGGACATGGCCAACCCCGAATTGCTTCCTTATCTCGCTCTTCACTTAACTTAGACCAGTCATAGTCGTACACAATCCGATCTGACACCCCTAGACGTGCAGGCCCACCCTGCACAGAGCAGAAGGGTAGCGGTCATAGGTGAATTCTCGACACAACAACTGGAACGAACGCGAAGCTGATCTGAGTCCCTCAGGACATGGCCAACCCCGAATTGCTTCCTTATCTAGCTCTTCACTCAACTTAGACCAGTAGCGCTTACTGTAGCGCTCTTGGGTCGCTCAATTTCAGATAGACATGGACCTGATTTTGCTCAAGTTGGCTTCAACTTACCATACCATCATTATAAATTTGGATACTATCGGGCAACAGATATAGCCAAGCTGATAGAAGGCAACACATCGTGTTCAGGATCTTTGGGGAAGTGGTTAAGGGGTTGTGTTTAAATTCCGGCGGCCCAGACTGGGTAAGTTCGATTCCCAGATGGAGCAAGAAATGCTCACGGGCTAAATCAAGTACAGAATCGTCAGAATGAAACTCAACTGTAGCAGACCTATCACAACCGTTGCCACTGTACGAAAAGTTAGTGTACGGATCGCGATTGTACCAATCGAGCGGAAAATCGCCTAAAATGTATGAAAAGATCGTGTACGAAACGAGCGTAAACTCAACATCTTTGTCTGAAACGCTCGTGTATGAAAAACACTTGTCCGAATAGGACGTGTACGAAAATAATTAGGACGAAACAATCCAAATTTCTTGGTACGAAAAGATCCTGTACGAACTGCAATTTGGACGAAATAATTTCGGATGAAACACACCATGTACGAAACGATCGTGTGCGAACCGCGGTACACCCGCAGAAAGGTGGCGGTCGTAGGCGAAATGGCCGGACGCAAGAAGGGAATTCGTCGGCACCTAGCACCCCGGCTATTTGGAGTCTACCTGGTACCCAGGACCGCCTGGGTACCAGGTAAAGGTTTTTTGGGAGCGAGATGTTGGTCAGCTTGGGAGGGGGAGGAAATTTGGGAAAAGGGGGACAAAAATTTGGGACGTCGGGGAAGTAGGGGTCCTAATAACGCTAGCAACACCTCTTACCATTCATCGTGTGGGATAATTCAAAAAGCAAGGGTTATTGTTAAAGCCGACCAACGCCTTACCGGCCATCCCACTACTACTACTACTACCACTACCACTACTACTACTACTACTACCACTACTACTACCACTACTACTACTACTACCACTACTACTACTACTACTATTACTACTACTACTACTACTACTACTACTACTACTACTACTACCACAACTACTACTACTACTACTACTACTACTACTACTACTACTACTACTACTACTACTACTACCACTACTACTACCATACGTCAACTTCACTCCAATCATTCGTGAAGCCTCTCCCAAAGCTGGCACCACTTCCACATGAGGGATATCGAAGTATCTGAGATCAGCAGTTGCTAACAAGGACGTGGCCGATCACGACAACCAGACTTGGACCGGTTACTGGTCCTACAGATTAACTGCGAAGTGCTCTATCCACCCTTCAGTTTTCCTGTATGGCAAAGATTGCTCGGAGTTGCAAGGGTATAGACTTTGAGCATTTGGGTGAGCGAACGAAGAGTTAGCTCAACAAACCATAGCCATTCCGTCGGGGTGTGATTGTGCCAAGAACGCTGAGTAAAGACCATTTTGGCGGAACTGTAGGTCGGCTGACACTATTTCAGTTCGGATGCGCGCCGATTTGTGCGAAAAATGGCCGTTTTCGAGGGTAAATGTCGATTTACGTATGGGTTTTTGGGAATGCTGAATGTAACGGTTTCGCCGAGGTTGGCTGAAACGATGGTTACATGTACGAAGTGATTACAAATCACGTGAAGGTGTATTTCGATACTTGTATTTGTTTCGAGAGAGGCGATTATAGAAAAGTGTGAACAAAACACATCTGGGCAAAAGTGTCACTATGTAAAATAAATCCGGAAAAATACAAGTCGCGAAAAAGTGTGGTTTTTCGAATTGGCTACTGTCAGCATTTGCTTGCTAAGTGACTGCTAGGTTGTTAATGTTATTGCTACTTTGTTATGTTGAAATTAGCACATAAACAAGAGCGAGCTACCGAAAATGTTAGAAATTATGGTGGCCATTGACAAACCTGCGATATCAACTACGTAGTGATATTGTGTTACAACGAACTGTATTTCTATTAGATGTTGTCTCATCGGAAATTCGCGTTTCCCGTAAAATGATTTTGGTAGGATCTCGAACAAGAGCTCTTGAGGACTAGCAGGGAGCGTCTCAGATTCTACTTAGACTGTGCCGTGATGGAGGCTCTCAAATCACTTCTTTTCCACTAGAATCACATTTGTTTACAATGGGTAATCTCGTATGTAAAGAGAACGATGCATACTCTGAGTTCGTCGCCCTGATGGACCGAACCTCGCAGTACACCGGCCAGATGGTCGATTCAATGAGGTAGTAGGAAAAGGCATCCTATTTGTGGTATTCGTAGTTTGCAGTTACTTGAAAGCCAATCTAGATGGTGTTGCATCCATCACCAGTGCGCCCCTATCTCGGACGCTCACCTCACTGCGATGGCGTACACTCTTTTCATGAACTACAGGGATGTCGCTATTGTTACGGGTAGAGGATTGGCAATAACCTATTCACACAGACGG